TTCTGCAATATTTATGATACATGGGAAATTATTAGGTTGTTGTTGTTTTTTTAACCTGGGAGAAGGAAATTGGAAATTAAAGAAACAACCAGATGTTTTTATAGTACCAGTAACTTGGTGTCAGAATGGAGAGAGGAACAAAATATTCATTGTTAAAGTTGAACCTAATGTGACCATGGGTAACTTATTTTCTATATGATTTTCAATCTCCACAGTGAACCTGTGTCAACTTTTGTGCGGCGCAATATCGCTATATACTATGCATCTTAGTAAGTACCACCTTTTCTCTTATATGCTTAGAGGATCATATTCATTTTACGCTTCTTAATTTTATAGCAGAACTAGACAACCTGTGACCCATTGGGTCATCGTTTCAGAGGTATTTCCTTACCTAAACAGAAACAGAATGACCAAGGGCAAAAAAGCAGTGGGAGTATGAGTGATTTGCTGCAGGCTTCCCCATTGACTTTGCTTGTGGAAAGCTGGCAGGGAGCATCAGAAATTAAATTTGTGTAGTGGCTAGAAGTATTAGTATCTTCTGAAGCTTTGGCTGTTTAGGTTGGGACCTATTGACTAACTGGTACAGTAGCTATAGCTGTCTTCAGGGAGGCAAACAAAAAGAACATCTGCTTCTTTGACTTTAGAGCAAACAAGGGAACTTTTTCCTGCTTCTGCTATCAGCTGATGCTACTGGAAGATTTTCTGAGCTTTTCAGCAGTAACTGTAAAGCACCCTTCTCCTTAAAAACCCTTCTTGAGATCTGGGGAAGAGCTGGGTACAAACTGGATGAAACTAAATATGGGACTTGCTCATGACCCTCAGGCTGGATAAAGATCCTTGCCTCTGTGCTATACCCAGTCACCCGTAAGTGATACAATAAAGCTAACATAAAAAATATCTGTGGTGAGGGCTAACTCTGCTGAGACATGAAGGATACAAAAAAAAGCACAGAGCACTTGATGTTGAAGATGAGAGGTCAGCGTGCTCCCAAAAGTCTCCTGATAAAGGGTAAACACCACAATGTACAGGTAGCCCTCAACTTCTGACCATTTGTTTAGCAACCATTCAAAGTTACAATGGTGCTGAAAAAAGTGACTTACGACTGGCCCTCACACTTACAACAGTTGTAGTATCCCCGAAGTCACGTGATCACCATTTGCAACCTTCCCAGGCAGCTTCCAACAAGCAAAGTCAATGGGGAAGCCAGCACGGAAGGTCACAAGTCACAGTCAATGACCACACTGCTTAATGATGAATTTTCTGGTCCCTATTGTGATCGTAAGTTGAGGACTACCTATAGAAGACTTGCAGTGTCATTATCCCTGGGCTGGACTTTGCCATATTATAGCCTTTGTGTTTTTGCAATGGAGTGCTAGGCTCTTGACAAGGATATATTGAAATTTAATAATATAATGCTTGTTTTATCTTCCCAGTGGTGTATTCCTGGTCACTTACCTGGTGCTGGTGTGTTGTGAGGGCCCACGGTGAGTTTACGCTAGGGATATTGGCCTTTTGATTTGAGTGAGAATCAGCTCACTTCACTTGATTAATGTTCATTGATCAGTACTTATCGATATAGATGGACACCTAAGAATGGGAATCGTATCATCTATCATGTCTCTCCTTGAAGTAACCGTGTTACTGAATTGATCTGCTTTTGCTAATTTCTTGCAGGAGACGTTTTCCGTGGAACCTCATCCTTCTGTCTATCTTCGTAAGTGAATGCTTTTGTTGTGAACTTTGGTTGAAATTACATAAATTCCCCAGTGATATTGATGGTAGGATTTTTAAAATTTTTCATTATTAAGTTGCTGTTTTGCCCTCCTTTTAAAATACCACACGTGCTTCTCCCTTTCCCATGTATCCTTTAAAAATGCAACAAAGACCAAATTGAGAGGCTCAAGGTTAAAACCAGGGAATATTAGGGCATGGATCCAGTCATATTTTGAAAGTAGAATGAGGTGGGAAGTATAGGTTGATGTGGTTTTGATATCGAAATGGGCAGCAGTAAAACTAGGTGTTGTGGAATAAAAGGTCATAGAAATAAGGTCTTTGATTTTGGGCAAAAGGGAATCAGAAGTTGCTAATGATAATAAAATTCAGGACAATACAAAGTTACCATAAACTTTAAGGACAATACAAAGTTATCATAAAAACAAACAAAAACCCATCAATTGAAATACACATTGAAAAATAGTACCCATCAATTAAGAGTTGCTTCAGAATAGTAGTCAGCTTAGACATCCAGTGTCAGTCTTGGAGAAAGAGAAGTTTTCCTGCACAGATGGGCAAAGGGAGACACTGAGCCTGCCATTTGTAATCTGATGTTTATGAATTAAACAAACTATGTAGTGGAGGCCAAGATTATTGGTGTACGTGTGTGCATATGTGTGCAAAGGGACCAGCTGGTCATCTTCTTCTTCTCCCTTAGACACTGGCTCTGGGATTCATGACAGGCACCATTGCTAGGTAAAGTACAACAGTAATCCATGTTTAATCTGCTTCTGTCTGCTCTACAATTAAACTTGGTTTCTGGCTAGATATTTTGAATGTCTACTTGGTGGGAGGCTGTCCAATACCTGTATCAAGAAAACAAACCTCACTTCTGGGTCTCCACTTAACCACCCCATTTGTTGTAACTTTATTCAACACTTCTCTAGCAATTCAATTTTTAGAAAATAGCTTTATTGAACAGATGCTTAAGGGAAAGTTGTGGATAAAAGGATGCCTCCTTTAAATATATAGGGAAGTCCCATTCCCACAACTGCTCTTTCCTCATTTGTATCTCTTGACTGACTGGGGAGATGACATAGATACACACATTGCTGCTGCTGTGTCTACTCTCAGCCCCTTTGAAGACCATATGGGTCTGTCTTCAGATCTGCCAGCCCCACAACCTTGAAAACAAGGCAAGAAAATCACTGTCCTGATCTGAGGTGCTGCAAATTCTGAACCTCCAAGCTGAAGGGGAAGAAAGGAAATAAGCAGGTCAGCAGTGTGGTGTCTGCAGGTTCGGTCTTCTGCTGAAATTGGCCAAATCTTGTAGATGTCACACTTATTCACTGTCCTGGGAGTGCTGAGGGGCAGATGCCCTATTTCCCTTAAAGGACTGACTAGGGCGGCTGAAGCAGGAGAGCCTGGGGTGAAGGGAGAGAGGCAAGAGTTCCCTCCATGCCATAGAGCTCTAGCATTTTCAGCTAGAAACTGGCTGCAGAGCTGAATAGCAGCTGCACAGAAGTCAAACCACAGGCAGACAATCTGCTAGGCTGCTGGAGATGATGTGTAAGATCACAGAAGTGTGGAGTTGATCCAGGAGTGGTGGAAACACTTCATGGAGAAGTGCCTTGATAATTGTTGAAGCTCTGGGTATCATACTGAAGGTCAGTTTTGGAGAAACAGTTAATATCTACAGATTCTGTGGCACAAAAATAGGAATGTATTTATTTATTTATTTGGCCATCCACTCAATGGTGACTCAGGGTAGCTAATAATGTTAAAAACAGCAAAGAACCACAAATAATTACAATCCAGGAAAAAAAGGAAAACGGAAATAAGAGCACAGACACACCTATAGTGCAGGGGTCAAAATTCATTTCATGTGACTATTAACACACTGACAGTTCCTGCAACATCCTGGGCCTATGAGTAAAGGAAGAGCCATGTCTTCAGGGGTTTTCTAAAGGCCAGCAGACCCAGACCCATCCAGATCTCAGGGGGAATGTTGTTCTCTGTGACAGAGAAGGTACGCTTCCTAGATCCCATCAGATGGTACTGTTTAACAGATAGGACCTAGAGCATGCCAATCCTGTCTCATTTTAGGCAGACAGAGACAATTGGAAATAGATGGCTCCTCAAAATCCTGGTTCTGTGCCAGGAAGAGATTTTGTAGGTGACAGCCAGCACCTTGAATTTCAACTGAAAGCCTGCCAGTAATCACTGCAGCTCGCACAGGACGGGTGCTTCATGGGCCTACTGCACTGCTGCATTCTGGATTAATTGTGGCTTTCAAGTGGTCTTCAAGGGCAGCCCCCACATAGTGTGTTGTAATAATCTGAGCATTGAGATGCACATTTCATGTTCCACTATGGTCATTTAATCTGCAATTCTGATATAGGTGAAGGAATTTGAGGTGCCCATGATTGTTTTTGTATTAACTGGAACAAACCACTTTGGCCAAAGTGCACTTTTGTTACTATATAGTTCCTTCCATACCTAATGAAGAAGACAGTACCACTGAATCTATCATATGGTGAAATTATTCTGTTTAACTTTTTCTTTGCAGCATCCACAGTACAAAGGCTGTTGTAATTGCCATGACCATTACAGCAATTGTGTCCATTATCGTAACCATCTTCTGTTTCCAGACAAAGGTGAGAGGTGTTCTTCTTTGAGGCAACACCAGCATGGTTAGGAGATACGTAGGTTGTGTTCCTCCACTGTGTCACCAGAAACGTCTTGCCTCTTTTTGATAAGTGAAGGTTGAGCAGCTGACCTTTCGGTGTGCTGTCTTGCTTCGGGCTTCGACCTTGAAATGAGACTGATTCAAAGTCAGAACTTTTCTGGTGAGCTTGAAGGCTCAAAATGGCTCAGATTCAAAAATTTTATACTCTTCTACAGAATGACTATGCACAAAAGGCAGTTTTCTTGTAATTCATAATATACACTAAATATAGAATACATATAGGCCTGTATCAAGTATCCATATCAAGTCCGAGGCTTGCGTACGATTTCGAAGTCCATATTGTTCTATCTCTGTTGTTTGGATGGTGACATTTCCTGTATCAGCTCTTTAAGGACTATGGGGTGGGGGGGAGAGAGAGAGAAATAGGCTCTTCACCATTAGGAAGGGCATATGGTCAGTCATAGCAATGCATAAATAATGAGGACACTCTCCAAAAGATCTTCTCAATATTCATCACAATCTTGATTTTCCTGAAGTTTGAAATAATATTTATAACAGTAAAATGTGTATGAAGTATTTATATATATTATTTAAAATATTCCCATCCTTTTTCCCCCCAAGGTCTTTAAATAGAAAGTGATTCATTGATTCTTCCAAAATTATTGGTTGCATTATACATATGAGAACAAAAACTTGCAAATCTTTCCCCTACACAATTTGCATTTTGTGTACCATTTCAGTATGGTGTTAATGTGTCTATGCATATGCTTGTGTGTCTTTTACATAATGGGGTTGGTGGGGCTAAGGAGTTTCCTACAAGGGATGCTAATACTGTGTGAACAAAAGGTGATCTGCTATCTGCCATCTTCTCCCATACCATCTTTTGTTTTCATTGGCAGGTGGATTTCACATCCTGTACTGGTTTCTTCTGTGTGCTGAGCATTGTTGTCATGGTGACTGGAATTATCACAGCCATAGTCCTGGCCTTCCAATATGTAAGGAACTATTGGTAGAAATTTAGTGGGCTTGGAGTCAACAGGCCTTCTAGATGTGTGACTCTAAATAATGCAAGGAATGTCTGACTGCATGTGGAAGGGAATTCCCATCCTAGAGCCAGGATGCTGTAGTGGTTAACGTGTTGCTTCTGAACTGGGGAGACCCAGGTTCAACTCCTCACTTTTTCAATAGCCCAATCTACCACTACAGTATGGGGATAAAAACAGGACAGTCTTTATATCTACTGCTCTGAGAGAGCACTCTTGAGAAAGAACATGTAGACAGGAATGAATTTATTGTCAAGTTCTGTTTTGGGGAATCTCATTTATGATGGAGAAATTGTTGAGTAATCAGTAGCCTTTTTTCCTAAAATGTTTAAGCCCTTGTCTCTTAAAATGGGTGATGAGCTGGTAACGATTTCCTTCTTCTGTTATTTGTGCTGCAATCTGGAGAAACTCTTGTTAGAGTTAATTAAATCAAAACCTCTAAATATGTGGAAACCAAACTCATTTCTTCTTCTTCTTGCAGATAAAGTGGCTCCATATGCTATACGCAGGTATTGGTGCAATCGCCTTCACCCTGGTTAGTAGGAAATTGCCTTCTTCATCCTCTATCACACAAGACTAAAATCAAACAAAATAGGTGCAAAACCACAACTGTAATTAAAATCATAATATTGCCCTCCTTTGAAGGCACTTTTTTTTTTTTTGGATCCATGGGTGCAGGAGTAGATAAACTAGATTACTTTTATAAAGTTTATCTTTATTTCTGTAAAGACTGCATGCTTGCATATATTTAGAGGGGGTGCTAAATAATATCTAGAAAAGGAAAAGGTGATAGGAACTTTGAACTATGGAGTGAATCACTATGTTGTGATTCACAAATGGAACTGAAATATTTTTTCCCTTTATTGCTCTTCGTTGCATCTGGTCACCATAGATTAAATCCAAGGAAATCCAATATTCTAGACTGCTGGAATAGTAAATTCTGTATTTACTCTTGCATGATATTATTTTTGGCTTCAATTCCCAAGTGCCTTTTGAAAATGATTTTTACCCAAAGTTATAACTTTCCTGTTGTATTTAAAGGTATTCATATTTGCTCTGTTTCAATTAATTTCATTCTTCAATGAACTGGAAAGTTTTTTTTTTTAATCTATTTTTGAACATTTTTTAAAAGCTTTCATTCCAAATTTGGAGGGGTGGGGGGAGAAGGGAAATGGCTGTTCCTTAAAATCTGTTGAATGGAAGTAAACATGGAGAGAGAAAAGGAGACTTTTTGATGACTCTTGGGCAGATTTAGGATTCTACTCATGCCATTATGCATCCTTTCTGCTTGTGACCTATGGATATTGGGATGTGTTTCCATCTTCTGTAATGCAGCTCTTGGCAAGAAGAATGTTATTACTGTTGGATAATTTTTTGCACCTTGTAACTAACTGCTGCCTTGTGGCTTTTTACAGTTTCTTGCCTATGATACCCAATTGGTGTTGGGCAACAGGAAGCATACCATCAGTCCTGAAGAATACGTCTATGGAGCCCTCAAGATCTACACAGATATTGTTTATATCTTTACCTTCCTCTTGCAGATTGTGGGCAGCAGAAATTAGATGGCTGAAACTATTTAAGACTTTGACAATCTTCCCCAGAGATCAGGAAATATAACTTCCTGATTCTAATGTACTGTTATGTGCTTGCCTCTAGCCCATGCATAAAAGCTATGAAAGGATTCGCAGAGTGGACAGGAAAGCATAATGGGGAATCATCTATTGTATTCAGTGAGATATGGGTCCTGATCTTTCTGTTTTACTTCTCCATTTGCACATGTGGCATTCCCTTCTTTAACTTGTGCCCTGGATTCATGAATGTAGTGTATATTACCACTCTGATATGACGTAGTCTTTTCAACTTATCCTTTTATTTGTATTTTTGTCAGCCTCTAAGATGCAGATGACTCTTCTAATCAGAAAATCCACTGCTCCAAGGCTCTATTACATAAGTGCAAATAAAAATATATATTTTTGAATTAAGCCTTCGTGTATTTATGTAAGGGGAGGTTGTACTGCTTACCTATTCAACCAAGATTGTCCTCTAGCAATCATCTGAATCATCTGAATGAGAGATCTGAAGGAGGGATTTGCTTTGCCTTGAATATGAGTTGAATTTACTGTGTGATTGGAAACCAGGGTTTATTGAAGTCCTTATTCACACAGAGTTTCATTTGCATTCAAGAGAAAAGGATAGCATTGTCGGAGCTTGCTATCAACTTCCAGAGTCCTTTGGCTTGTTCTTTGTCTACTTGTCTTGCCTTGAGTAAGCAGTGTGGATTGTAACCAAAGGAGAACAGGAAGTGAACAAACAGTATCGTTATGGCAATGAGCTGGGCCTATTCAGCGGATGTTTCCAACAGCCCCCCAAAACCTGGAACTAACTTTAGTAACTGGATTTTAAAAGATGTGTGTGAAATGATTCTCGGTGTAATGCATGACATAATCACAAGTGTCATTTTGTCAAACTTTAGGACAACTTGCCTGTGCAGTTTCCACTAAGCACTAAGATTACTAGAAGGCACAATATTTTTTTGCAGTTCGATTTTTGGAGGGTTTTTTGACCAGCAAATTATTGCATCAAGTCTTGACTTTTGTCTTTAAAGAAATATTTGAAAACATAGAATAATAAATGTGGAATAAAAAGAATGGACAATGGAGAACAAGAAGTCATTACTGTAATTTCATAATTGTTTCAATTTGTAGGCTATTTACTATAGGAGATATATACATATGCAGTAGAAATTCTTTTAACTTGACAACCATCAAGTATGAACCATAAATAAGTGATTCCCCCTCCCCCTGCCTGTTTTTGTTGTTCCTACTTTCTCCTTCAGCTTGGAAGTATAAAGGGGAAGAAATGAAGGTTGAGTGGCCTAATCCCACAACCTAATTTAGACTACCCTTTGCTACTGGAAGTTTCCATCTTTAATTGGTCTTTGGAGATTCCCTAACTCAGATGCTAATTTGTCAAACACAGAATGCCCATCAGTAACATTACACTTTACTGGATTTGGACTGTTACAAATACATTGTCCAGCTTCACTTTCATCTTTGTAACTCTAGCTCAAAATCAATTAACAAGCTGCTTCAAGTTAATGATTCCAGAATCACTTTATAATTGTACGTGTGTCATACAGCCATTGTGATTAGTGGGACTCAAAGACAGGCTCTCCATGGACATAACGACTGACTGTCTTTTAAGCATTCTAGTTATCAAAACATTTTTTGATAAACAGTTCTGTAGTTTAATCATATACTGTGTTGACCCACATTTCCCTGTTTTGAATCTCCCACTATTCTTGATTGGATGAACCCAAGTTCTACATGAGAGGGAAGGGGAAAAAATCCCTTTCTCTTAAGCATTATTTTATGTACCCCTCACATACTCTCCATTTTTTTCCTAAACCAAAAAGCTTCCTAAATTGTAACTTTTTCATATAATGGAGTTTCTCAACCCCTTTGAGCCTTTGGGTTGGTTTTATTATACTTTTCTTTCCAATCTGCACTACTTTTTGAGCGTACTGAGCAGAACGATATGCTGCATTCCGATCACCATAAGTTGCATTAAACCATTTTGCTAAGTGTCACATATACATTTTAATCCCTTCCTCCTGATCTCTAACATGACTTAGCTTTTAAGATGTTAAACTAGGATTTCAAAAATTGAAGTTAAGACCCCTTCATGACCATGGAGCTCACTAAATGACCCAATCATTCTGCTTCCAATAAAAACCAAGTGGAGCTTCAAATCTGCAGAGCCAGTAAATTGCAGAAAACCCAATACGTACTATAGCAAGAAAACGCTGAGGCCTAGCCATCTCCTTCCTGTACTGTATAGATGTAATAATGCCCTTAGTCAAAGCTACATCAGAAGATACCTATTTGTGGGGATAGAGTAAAAGGAAACCCCATCTATACTTCCTTGAGGTAGAATGTAAATACTAATGTTAATAGCAATAGCAGAGAATATACATAGCACATAGTTGAAATGTTGGGAACTGGTGTTCAATGAGCTTGCTTTTCTTCTTGCAAACATTTAATGACCAAACTAGGGAATATCATGGGTGCTTTGCAGGAACAACCACAGACGACAGCATACAGGTAAACCAATCAGAAACAGACATATAACAACTCTGATTAAGATACGTAGGTCAAACGCACCTAACAAGCCTGCAAAACTCATTCTCTGATGTCAAAGCACTGATGATGTTATCTAGATTGACAGTGAAAGATCCGGAAGAAGAAAACCCAGCTCAGCAAACACCAAGATCCCAACGCAACAGTTGTTGCAATAGTTCTGCTTTGCTTACGTTATCTTTTGATTTCAACCGTTTGATATCTTAAGCCTAAACGACGGAATAGCTCAAGCATCCTTAATATCTCTTGGGCTCAAGCCTGCATAGAATCTGGGGGCAAGGCCTGAAAGACAGAAACAACTCGGTTGGTGCAGTTTGTAATCATTGCGTTCGCCTCTTGGGGGCACCTGAGTTGTATCTCAGGGTCTCTCCCTCTCTATTTTTCCTCCTCACAAAGAATAGGAAGTTGAGCGCGGTTCCCCTCACGGCCCTTCTTTTCCTCCCTGGTTCTCTGGATTCTTCCAATCCACGGTCGGCCGCAATTTCCAAGGGACAGAGTTTGGAAAGAGCTTCCGAGAAGGCCTGGAGGAGGGGACGCGGGTGCCGAGCCTCGTCTCGCCTTGCCTTAATCGTCCGAACGAAGGCTGTGTCGAGGAGGAGGATGGGAGCCTTTCGCCTACACAGGCTTCGCTAGGCGAGGAGGGCTGGCTCTTTACTTGGAGCTTAATTCTTATCTGGGATTCGGGAACTACCTGAGAGTTATGTCAGGTTCGATCCCTCGAACCTGGTCCTCCCCCGGGGGCGCTCCCCAGGTAAAAAGACCGTGCTCGGTGTTGGTGGGCGATTCCTCCAATTAGGGTGGGCGGGACTCCGCCGGTCAATAACTCCCTATACCGAGCGGAGGTGGCCCCGTGTAACGGCTGCAACCTGAACTGCGGAGCCAGGTGGCTTCAGAATTGGGCTCCGTCGTGGGAACGAAGCCGGCCTTTTCTCGCGGAGCGGCCTTGTTCTTTTGACCTGGCGGGATGTTGAACAAAGCGGGAAGGAAGGACCAGACCGGTGATCTTTAAACTACGGATTCGACAGCGAAGGGGCTCTCGCTC